GACGTTTAAGTGCGCCTTATAGTCGTGAAAATACGGTAATAAAAGCAGAGGACTACTGAAAGACTGTGATTGTTAAATTGTTGTAACAGCCAGACTAGAGCTTCACAGACATCTGCATTCCAGTCATTTAAGATAAATGATTGTAGAACAACTTCCACTGTCCATTAGCAAAGCTTCTATTCTGCACTTAAATGTATCCCTTGGTACGATTAGTACAGATTATACAGTGAAGAGCTTGCTTGCTTTCTTGTGTGAATAAATGAATGACAACATGTATTTTCTCCATAGTGGTATTATGTAGTGGCTCCAACCAGTGCTCTGGAGTCAATTGAACACAGGCATAACAAGACTAAATCGGTTTCAGGAGCCATGTGTGCATGTGAAGGCTCTCGGTTGGGCGAATGTGCAGAAGTGAATGAGATCCTGACAGAGAAATATGGTCGCCTTTACAGACTCTTAGCAGACCAGAAGAAATGAGCAAATAAAGACAAAGGACATTTTAATTCAATGGTAAAAGTTAATATATATATTACAAAATATAGAATGGAGTAGTAAGAGAGGTGAGAGGAATAAACCTGAGAGGGCAAGACAAGGGGAGGGAGGGCGGGAGGGAGGAAAGAGAAGGAGTTTTTGGTTTTGTTTTTGGAGCCGTTTAAGTCATTTCTGACTTAAAGAGTTCCAGATGTTGGAACGACGTTAAATTAAAAAATAAAAAAGGACGAAACATTAAAAAGACAAAAATATGGAGCTAAGTTTCATTTGATCATCTGAAATTCTTATTTGCATTAAATGGGCATTCCTATTTCTTTTTTTGTTTTTGGGGGAGGGAGAACCATAAACAGTAAGCTGAAAGCCACTTTTAGGGGGTGGAGTTACAGGAGGAAGGTGGTAGAGCAATATGTGGCTTTCATGACCAGCACTGATTCTATAAAAAGCCAGAGTCAGAGGAACACTGTTGTTATTACACACAGATCCCCCCCCCCCAAAGAAAAAAAAAGAAAAAAGAATGAACACACAAAATAGTCCAGTTAGGAAAATCATGCCGACATCTGGCTAAATACTGGACCTATTTTGCAATGAAGCAGCGCCAGCTTGAGCATGTGGCAGCCGTCAAGTCCTGGACAATGCAGCTGGATACCTAATGGAGTAGTTAAAGCCACTGGAAGCTGACCAGAATCAGACATTAGAAGGAAGCAATGAAGAACTGCTAGAGCAAAAAGATAAATTTAGTTAAATGCTAACTGAATTCAGCTGGCAGGGTTTAAATAAAAGCCTCAGTTCCACCATAGTTGGATTGAAAGTTTTTATTTTATTATGAAGACTCTCCTTAGAGGAGGACTTCGCCCTCTAAATGCATTACTGGGATTCTAGCCATCACCCCTCACTTTCTCCCTTGTCTATAATGAACACGGATGCATGCGCTTCCCTTGCATTTGTTTTCAATGCCTCTGTATTGGACTGAGCTGCAGGATCACACAACAAAAGGCCATTGTGCCGCAATAAAGAGTTCTGCTCCAGGGAGCTGGTAGTAGGCCACAAACAAAGAGTTGTTACATTGTCCCAGCGCTGGCTCGTAAATCAGCTCATCACTGGACTGCCAACACAGTCATGGAAATAGCGCTATGCATGTTCTCAGATTGGAAAATATGGATTTCTTAGAAAAGGATTTTGATGGAAAGGGATAGGAGGGCGGAAGGGGGAAAAAAATGAGACAAGGAGCAGGATGCACAGCTGGAGCTTGAATTAAAAGGTGTAGGGAGGCTGAGGAGGTGTGACAGTGGAGGTGAATTAATGCAAGAGAAGGAAAAAAGCACAGGGAAAAGAAACTTCTGACTTTGAAGCAATGGAGTGAATACTGCAACCAAAGTACAGAGTGAACACAAGGCTGCATTGGGAAGAAAAAAAAACAAACAAAAAAAACACTGGTATTTTGCCTCAGTTCAAGTGACATTTGAGCCCTCAACTGCAAAGAATCTGGGGACAAATGTAGCTGCTGAAAACAGAATGCAGCTCTCTAGGTTGTAATGTGAAGCTGGTTAGAGGGAAAAATACTTTCTTTGTTCTTAGATATGCCTGCACCGTTGTTTTCCTATTCTGACAAGTCAAATTAAGAACCAATCCATCAGGCACTCATTCACAAAGAGCTGCTATTGTATCCAGCAGCAAGCTACAGTTCACCTTTTCCACACGCCGGGCTGTGCCAGAGTGAAAAAGCTGTGTCCAGCATTCAAAGGGGGGAAACCTCATGACAGAGGAAAAGGTTTCTGGTGAAGTTTTCTCATGCATGAACACAGAGAAAAACAAGCCGCAGGACGATGTCATTTAAGCCAGCAGGATTGTATAGGACACTAAACAGAGGCTCAGTTGAGGTCTTGATCCCAGGCAAGCCCATATTACAGAGTCATTAGGGTTAAGGAGAAGTGTATACATTTAAAGTAACAAAACTCAGACAGACAGGACAAAAATGCTAAATTATTAAGAGATTTAAAACTTATGAAGGTGCATAAAACTACCTCATTTGGATTCAACTTCTTCATGAATTTAATGGTTGTTTTTGGCGTTCTGGAAACGTGTGTGGCAACAGTACACACCTTGAGAATCAGTCTCAAAGTCAAATATATATAACCATATATATAACCTTTTAGTTTATAGCCCGGATGGATGGATGGATGTTTGTAGTGTACCAATCAGAACTTTTCCCTTCCACTTTCTGTAAACATGGCTGGAGGCAGCGCAGCCAGTTTCCTCAGTAATCAACCTTTGTGGCTCACTCCTCCCATGGAAGGTGTTTGGAACTGTCAACTATCATAACTGTATGGGTCATCACAAGTCTTTACAAAGTATTCAGATTTTCATCCAATTTATTTGGAGGTTTTATTTGCTGTTACCATCCCAGTTAACTCACATAAATGTTATATAATAGGGTGTTTGAAAAGTCTGATTGATCTATAAGATAAAAACAAAAAAAGATTATTAAAAAAAAAAAAGCTAGTTGCTTTAAAGTGTGCTCACCATTGGCGTTCTTCCCGCAGATCAGGTGCTCATAATGTTGCAGGACTCCCCACAGCTCGGCATCATTGTTCACCACCGCCTCCAGGGCCTCAGCGCTGACTGGGGCGCATCCAGGCCCCACATCCGACCCCGAATGACCCCTTTCGGCCATCAGCACCCTGAAACCTATCTCCTCCACCAGAGCCTCCATGCATGCAGTCAGGCTGATCGCTGCGTACTCGTGGATGCGCACAGAGATGCGGGTGTCCACCATCCAGCGGAAGAATCGCCCCACGGAGAAAGAGAGCCCACAGCGGGCAGACTTGCCCTTCCTCAGCAGCTCACCTGCGCTCATGCAGTACATGGAGATGGCTTTGACGGTGGCGGAGACGCAGTGGTCCGCCAGGGCCCAGCTGAGAACGAGCCTCATGGCGCTTTGCACCTCGAACCGCGTGCATCTGCAGTGCATGACGCTGAGGCGCTGCGCCTCCCTGGAGATGCGGATGAGAGCCCTGCGGAGGAGAGCGGACAGACGCCTCACCGCATCCTGGGAGAAGACAGCCGCGGACCCCCACTTGGCACCCCCACCGCTCTCTGCCACTTTACGCACAATCCTGGCCACCTCCTCCTCAGACCAGGGGAACTCTTCCAGCTCAGGTAAGCGGTGGCACTTGGAGAAGATGTCCTCCGGGTCTTCGGGGAGGACCGTGTTAACCGTGTCCCAGCTGTTGTTCCTGCTGTTCATAGATCCAGAGTAATACCACCAGTTCCCCCGGTGAGGGGTCGACATGAAGGCCTGAGAGTTTGACTTGGAAGAGGACAGGCTGAGGGACTTACAGGAGTCCCCCGCCCCGTATCCAGAGTCCAGCGTCAGGTCCTCCAGGGTTTTCATGTGGACATTGCTCAGACCTGCCATTTTTGGGAAGCGGCAGTCACTTCAGATGTGCGGAGAAACTTTGGTTTAGCTGTGAGGCAGTCAGAGCAGCTGTAGAAACTTCCCGCAAAGCTGGTCAGACTGGTTTTTACGCAGCGCAACTCATCCCCGACATGCCGACTCTGTAGTTGAGAGCAGGGGAGAGGTTTTTTTTTCTGTTATAGAGTTACTTTTACCTACTAAACACTCTTTTTTATTGAAAAAGTTATTAAAAAAACAGCAGGGAAAAGCTAAAGAGAACCAGTCTCACCTTTCCACCGAACTTTTCCCAACAACAGGACAGGTCTTTTAAATCCCGACAGACCTTAATCCCGCTGTGAACTGAACCACTCTCGGTTTTATGGATAAAAAAGTCCTGTTTGGTTGAACGGCGGTCTGAAGATGAAAGAAAAACATTAAAAAAAAAGTCCGATAACGGCTTAACTCTCCTTCCACAGAGGCGCGTCATGGACACTCATCAGCAGGAGCTCATCAGCGAACTTCAGATTAGTTAGGGGCGGGGCCACAGACGAATGACAACGCATGGATGCCTGTACCACCAATCAGGGCAAGGCTGAATTCTCTATCAGCCAATCAAACAGAACATATGTAGATTTAATCATCGATAATTTAAAGACCTAAATAACTAAATAAAAGCTGTGCTTTAAATGCATCAATTTCCACCATTAGTGTCCTTCAAGCTGCAGACACTTTCCCCCACAGCGCAATGATCTCCTCTTTACAAGATCAGTTATTTGTTCAGTATTTTTGTGGAATTAAACTTTAAACAGCTGTAACAAGTGAAGCAATTACTATTTTAAAAAAAGTGACAATCTATTTAGCTTCAGATAATTTACAGAAAATTACTTACTGTGTGTTTAATTCAACTCCTAATCATAAAATAATTGCATTCAAAGAGTTTATTTACATTGTATTTTCTTAAAATTTCTAACTCATTATATCAGTAGGCTTAATTCAAATATTTAAAAAATCAAGGTATTTTGGAGGGTTACTTTGACCAAAAAATTCTGGCCAAGTGGGCAGTTGAAAACAATTCATTTCTAGAACCTAAAACCTTTTAGCACACTATATTATAAGCTAAATTGCAATTTTACATAGAAATGTAAAAGGGTAAGAAAAGTAGAAGATACTTGTTGCAGCTATTTCGGTGTAATAGTGCATATAGAATTTAGCCAATCTCAAAAACCGGCTCAGTTCTGAGAGCAGCTTTACATTGTGACTATGACTAAACCTTCCATTTCTTAAAATGTTCCTTAAAGTGTAATTAGATTGTACATTTATTAACATGTCCTCTACGAATCAAACTTAGGGCCCTCAGGGTCACCATGGGCAGTTGCACTTATGTCAAATTTGCATAAATTAATTACTGTTCCCACATTTGTATGATTCTAATGAATGAATTAATTAGTGTAAGCTATAAACATTTATGTTGTGATTAGTAAATCAGCAGCTTGTACTCAGTTACTCACCATATTGTGTGTCTGGAGTGGATTGTGTCACTTGAAACTGATGTCTAGCTGTGAGACATCAGTTTCAAAGTCCAAACGATGACAGAAACTGTCCATTTAAAGCTGAATATACAAAGGTTGGTTATTGTTTAGTGGGACTTACAGAGGCTTAGAGTATTCACTGAAAGAGCTTTAAAGATTATATCTATTATGTAGGGGTTAACACATACGTGCATGTTTTTCTTCAATTTTAAAATTTCCATAAATGCGATGGTGCTTCTTCCTTAACAGCTAATTAGAGGTAATACTTCTTTAAACCCTTATTTTTTGGAACAAAAACTGAATATCTGTAAAGTAACTGCAGCAGTTTGGATGACTCATTGAGCAACTTTGCATTCTTATGGGGAAAGGGGAGAAAACATTCTGCCATTTTTAATCACACTGAACTCATACACAGAAGTAGGGTGTGTCATCTCTGGGACAAGGTCCAACTGTATTACTTAATGGGTTTATGTCAGAGATGTTTGAATCAGTGGTTCTTTCTCACACCAAGACAAACATAAATATTACAGGGAGCAGCATACATGTTCAGTTCCTTATGAAAAGGTTTCTATTCTATGACTTTAAAATTATTGTCATCTTACATCTACAAAATTCAATGAATCTTAATGAGAGTTTATTAAAATATCCTCACATTGTGCAGCAGTGTATCGTTGTGAAGTTAAAGAAAAAGAAAACACACTTTAAAATCTTACAAATGAAAATGCTAAATGTGCATCCTGCATCATATTCCACAATTTTTTACTCTGACACTCCTCAAAACATCCAAAGCATCCGCCTACTGAAGTCTCCAAGTATAAACACAGCTGTTCACTGAAGGCCGTTGAGATTTGTTAGGGAACATTAGTGGACAAACCGCGTTATGAAAAGCAAAAAACACACTGAGGTAGGTTGTGGATAAAGTTGTTCTAAAAGTTTAAAGCAAAGAGGGATTATGATACATGCGCCTCGATATTTAAACAAATTATAGAATACTGTTCAGTCCAAGAGAAACCAACACTGCTGAACCAGAAAACACAATCCCACCACAAAGAGACATGTTGCGGACCGGGACAGCATCATGCGGTGAAGTTGCTTTTCTTAAACAGAGAGAGAAAAGCTGGATGGAGTAGACAGAAAGACGGTAGAGCAAAAACATAGATTTGGTCCTGGAAACAAATAAAAAAAGTTCAAAAGCCAGAAGGTCATCATCCAAACTGTGAATACCACCACCAGCAAATATACAGCCAGATACAATTGAGTGGTTTACTATAGATAGAAGCAGGTTCATCAATGCAAGTGAGATCATTCATTTCAATTAAAAAATACATTATTAATCCCAAAGGGAAGTAAAAATAATTAGATGTGGCTTTACTTGAGTTTTTCTGTTCATACAATCTCTCTATTATAACTACCTGCTATAATACAAAGAAAAATGGTAATGGCAGGGGTTATGATAATGTATATATTTCCCTATTTGATTTCCATTGGTAAAAGATAAAATAAACCATTTTATTGTTATTTTATTTCCATCTCCCATGTTCCACTTTGCAATGGGCCTTCAGAATCCTAAACAAAACATAAAAGCTGGTTTTAATGTGACAAACTATACTTATCTGTATATATGCAGGAAGATGCATATTTATATAATATATGAGTGTATGTAATACTTTCATTGCTCAGGAAATATGAATATAGTCATTATTATTATTGCTTTTTTTCTCCTTATTTTGGATACTAGAAACAGGAGTTAAGTTTAACTTCATCATACTCCTTTTTTCAGATTTAAGGTCACCAAATACTTTGTGCATTAACATGTATTAGAGTATGTAAATTAAATAGTAAAGTTTTGTATTTACACTTAGAAACGTGAAAATCTTTATTATTATTGCATTTTGTGTCTGTCTGAAATAAAAGAAATACCATCATCAAACTTCCCAGAAACAGTTCCCAGAAACATAAACATTATTTACAATAGAATGGAACAACCTACAGACATTACATGTTGGCCATGAATCACGCAGACAGAGGAAGTGGGAGGTTTCAGCCATTCCTGTCATGTACAGTTAATGAATGAAAGCTTCTTAAAAGGCAGCTGATCAGATGAGACAGTTTACACTTGCCTCATCAAGTCTAAAGGCAAAGTGACTAACAAACCTAACGTCATGGTTTCCAAGTGCTTAACCACACAAAACAAAGCTGCATACCCTGGGAGAGGGAACTAGTCTATAAATATCAGATGAGGTCCAGAAATATGTCAGTTCTGAGAAAATTGGTCACGTGGTAAATTAAGACACTGGCAGGAAAAATGATGATCTATCTCCTTAACAGAAAGACTTATTGCTCATTATTGATAGGTGTAAATATTCACTATGACTGGATACATAAAAACAAATTTAGACTCTATGGTGGGTGTAAGATTTTTTCAACTTTTTGAAGAAATCTGAGGCCCATGTTATACAAAGAGGATTTCACTGCTTTCATCACATTGATTAAATAAGTCCCATCTTTTATAAAAATCTGGACAAACCTTTTACATGTTCATGCATTCCAAAGTTTTGACAACTTTCTTGCTTGTTCATGTACAACTTGGCTGCACTAGTATGGTTGTTTAGAGCTAGCATCCGGAAACTTTAAGATGCATCCCCTCTCCTGAACACCTGTATCAGATAAGAGGTTTGTTACAGGCATCTGCTGAGCTGAATGATATGCTGAGGCAATTCAGCCATTAGATTCAGGTATGCTGGAAAAGAGCTGTTCCTGAAAGCTTACTTGGTTTTAGCACCACTATGTGGTGACATGAGGCATGGCATCCATAACCGATTATTATTATTCCTTCCTCTTAGATAACCATTAAGCTTAAATAAGCAATCTGATTCCTAAACAGAAAATGTGCAAAAAAAAAAAAAGAATTCCAGACATAAGCATAAAATTTTATTTGCAAAAAAATGACAAATCAAAATAAAGATACAATACATTCTTAAAATATTTTCTCTACAAAACAATTTCACAGAAATTACCCCAGAATGTATTTTCCTATATGAAGATTTATTACATATATACTGTATTTATTTATTTGTTTTTTTTTGTTATATTTTTAAATAGTCCTGTGTTAAATAATGTACAGTATAGGCCTTTTTCCAGTAGAAGATGAAATAAAATTCTAACAATCAAAGTCAATATCCTATCTTTAGCTCTTACAGTATACATCCGATCTAGCTGATGCCCATGCTGCATAAACAGACGCATTAAGAGCATGGCCCCCAGACAAAATAATAAGAGCAGGTGGGATCCTGTTAGACTGCAGCTGCTCCCCACTCTCTATCAACCGTCTGCTCCAGCTCATTCTCAGTGTTTATATCTTCCTTTTTTAATTTATCATGACACACAAAAAAAAACACACTGACATGTCAATAAACCATCATATAAAACACAAAAATCCTAATTTTACAGTGTATCTGAGTTTACAGTGACAGTACAGTCTGTTGATAAATAACTTTATGTGTCATTCAGTCCCTGCTCTCTATGGAGTTTAAGAGTAATAGTAAAAAAAGAAGAAAGAAAAAAAAAACTGCTTGCAGCCGAACCCTGATAAAGGCACACGTTTGGAAAGAGCCAAGTATCATCACACTAAGCACAGATGCTGGTTTCTTCAATGTAAAAGACAATTCATGTTTTTGATAGCTGTTCATGTGACATTCTGCTAGGTTTGATCTCAAAATTACCAGTATATCTTTTTTAATAAATCCAAGTAAAGATGTACAAAAAGCTCCCAGGAGAATCCACCTTTAATTACAGTTGCATTGTCTCACTCTGAAACATAAAGTAAAAAAAAAAATAAAATAAAAATAAAATCTTTAACTGAAACTTATACTTTAATTGAAATCATTATTCAGTGAGGAAAATATAGTTTTGAGAAGAACAATTGTCGGCATTTAATGTAGTATCTCAAACTTTCTTCAGATCAGTACTTTCAAACTTTTCTGCTTCTGACTCACAAAATAGCAACCACGTAAAGTTTGTTGATTGCATAATAATTTCCAAGAAGTAACCTAAACAGGGTATGATGACCAAGCAAATGGCCTCAACAAGAAACATTTTTTTTACTCAGTTAGTTGCTATTAAAATTGCTTTATAAAGACGTTTCTAGTTTCCAGAAACCTGCATCCAATCTAACACTCCCTCCTTTTTGAGCTCACCCACAAGTTATTTTACATTTGACCGAAGATGGATTCTATGGCCTGAAGATTTAGTACAAATGACAACCTGTTTTCAAATTATTGCTATAGCCCACCAGGGGTTTTCTCTTCAAAATGTCCTGTTTTTTTTAAGAGTTTGTGATGCCATGCTGTCAGCAAAGGTTTCCAGGCTATTCAAAATAGAAACTGTATCCCCTGTGTGGCAGCGAATGCTGGGTCTTTTCATCCTGTTTGCTCAGCTAAACTCATCTTGGTTTTTTTTTAGCTTACAGTAAAAGTTTAACCTTAAAATTATGTGACCAAATCCCTTCAGAGTTGAGTTGAACTTCATAGTTATGATGGATGTATGTAGAGTAGCTGTAAGGGCCTTCCAGTATGTTTCCACAATTACTAGATGGCAGCATATAACCTCAGTTATTCCTTATGTGATCACAAAGGTGGCACTCTTCACAAATTGTTAAAATCTTGCTCACCGTTTGTGTCAGTAGGAGAAATATGGGCATATCGTTAGGTCAAATTTACAGTATGCCCCTGGGAAACCCTGAAGAGAAAAAGTCCAGTGTCTGTAAATTCTCAGCCGTCTGTGGAATAGATGGAGCTGAAGGGTAGGTCTCAGGTTTAAACATAAAATATAAATGGATCGCTACTTCAATTTTATTTTTTTAAAGGCACACCGCAGACTTTGTGAACTAAAGAGCTGACACATATGAGTTATTTTAAATGATTCCTCAGGCAATAAACAGCGCTTGACACCATCAATGCTACGAGCGGGGCTCCCCTCTTGAAATACTGCTTTTGTAAGTTGGTAGAAGACGCACCATCATTTAACCTTACACTGCAAGCTGGATTGTCACGAGATCTGAGTTCTAAGTCTCACAACAAATCCATCTTGAAAGACTCCCTCTAATAAAGCCGTCTTGGGCCAATGAAATGCCAGCAGTGTTTTTCGGGGTGGTACATGTAGGAATGACGACACATTACAAACAAGGCTGAGCTGGAGGACTCACCTGACAATAACACAATTGACTCAGTTTTAGCTAAAATAGTGACAATTTCTTGCTTGTAGGTGGGAAACGTTATGATTCGTTGATACGGTTGGCTAAAAGCGTTTTATGGAAGGCAGGTACTAGCTGGCACGTCACCCAATCAGCTTAAAGTGATGTATTAAACATCCCTCCTTTTCATTAACAGACTGAATGGAAGCCATCCCACATTGATTACGTAAAACTTACTGACCTGGAAGAACATATTGCTTTATGGCCACAGGCTCTGATATCGTCATGGAGCTAAAGGCTTTTGCTATTTTTCCACCTTCTCAACTACTAGTCACGGCTGAGGCAAGGAAAGAGTTTAAACCTTCTGAGGAGGCTAAAAAGAGAAAATGTGAAAGGGATAGTGCGCAAGGAAAAGCAAGAGTCGATCTTGGAAAGGAGTTTGTTTGTTGGTGCAGGCTGAAAGACGAAGCCTTATGTAAAACTGATTCTCTTTTCTCTACTTTATTATTAGACTGGTAAGTTAACACTTTGCTCCTAGTATATATTCCTATATCTTAGCTATTATTTTTGATGTTTAGTAGAAGCAAAATACGGGCAGTTACAGGTTTAGCGCCCCTGGTGACCTAAAGTTGCACGATGTGCGTTCAAAGAAGCTAAGTTTACACATAAATAACCATTAAACATAGTTTATTAAAAGATTTCCCAAAACTTCTTTTTTTCTTCACTGAATAAGTTAACTTTAAATAAAAAAATAGAATTGTTTTTGTTTTTTGAAATAAGATAAAGGCTTTTTATACATCTCTACCAGGATTGTCATATGCCAGGCAAACACTGTACACCATGAAACACTCAGCCGACTGTAAATTAACACAAATAGTTTTGTTTTCCTGTTCACAAAAAAGTTAGGGGGGGGTAAAATATTTCTTGTTTGTCGAAGTTACAGAGTACAACTTAAAGTGTATTCAAAACAAAACAAAAGAGCACCCACTCATGTTACTGCATCATTGAGGATAAATAAATCTTCTATTCAAACAACAGCAGCATAGACCTAAGTAAACAGAGTTTTCAAAGATAGCCATTTGTAACAAGAACGTACTGTAATTTATTGTCCTGACATTACAATGAAATATTTAAGTGGATTGAAAAGTATTTGAACATAAAAAGAATAAAAGAATGTAAATGACTGGAGGATGAACGGATCTAGTTAAGAGATCAGCACCTCTATCATCCAGCATGTAGTTGCTGATGCATTTAGAAATACTGCGTTACCTCTACTTAAGCTTCTGTAGGTCACAAGATGTGAATCAGATACATAACATTTGATGGACATTCTATTTAGCTCAGATGGAAGAGCAGGTTAGAAAAAGCTCTTAGGTTGTTTTTACATCATGTTAGAAAAAGGTGCTTAATTTAATCTTAAGCACACCCAAGCACACCCACACATACACACCCGTACATACAAACCTCCGCACACACCTCCATTCACAAAACAGCTTCTTTCCATTCTGTCTGAAAAAAATTGCACCAAAAAGAACAGAGAAAAAAGACAAAAATAACTTTTCTCTGTACAGTAGTTCAGTCAGTGAGGCGAAGTGATGACTCAGGCCTGTCTGCGGAGAGAGTGACGCCCCCCCCAAAACCTCCCATTTGGACTCAGTTTTCTCACCCAGACAAATTTTGCAACAGAACCCGGTAGGGAAACAGAGCCTCTCATTGAAGCCTGTTCTGAAAAAGGGCAAAGTTCAGGCAGTGAGTGAGCTCTTACTAGTCTCTCTGTAACACAGTGGGTCTGTAGGTGGGTTTCAGGATAATCTGAGCAAAATGTCCAACTATCCTTTTGGAGTTTTCTTGTTCTGAGCATTCCACATGCCTCTTTTGGAGTGGTAGTAGTGAAAGAAGTTCCTTAAACGTAGCCTTTCCACTTCCAAACCGTTCTGCAGCACTCTGCAGGGGAAGATGAGGAAACATTACAAAAACATATTGCTTGAAATGAGGACATAACATTAAAACATCCAAATAATGTTTTTCTATGGAAGGTTGTTCTGTTTTGAACATTTTCCTTTACTGTGTCAATGCATGAATTGAAGAAACATAATCCTCTTTCCCACTGAAACCCGGGTTTTTCAAAAACGAGTTGAACCACTTACAATTGGCTTTTGGATCTTTTCCCATTTTACTAAAAAGCTGGCAACCTGTGTGGCAACACAGGTTGACAACCTGTGTCAACAGGTTGCCACAGGTTGACATTTGATGTTGTGAACAGTGTGACGGAAATCAGGGAAGTAAATAATGGAGAGCAACATGGACAGAAGCCATAGCATACAGTAGTGAATATTCTTTATCATTTCACTCTTTTATCCGTCCGAATCCCTCTCACCAGTGCTGCTCCATGTTTATCGACTGTAAACAGAGTAGTTTCGGCTTGTTAGATCAGAAGCAACTGGCGTGGTGTGATGACGTCCGTACGTTGCTTTCAATGGTGTCACGTAATTTATCAGGTCAACCTGGCTCTGGCGTTCCCACTGCATGCCAATTAGAGCCGAGGCGATTTTAACGTGCATCACTTGCCGACTTTATCGAACAAGCAGAATATTTTTTACTGACATTCCAAAAAAATAAAATTCTGACACTTAGAAGGTAGGAGGAAGGATATAAGATAAAAAAAGAAAGAAAATATGGCAAATGCAAGTAAAAAATGAAGAAAAGATACTCTATGACAAAAGAATGAAAGAGCAATAAGTGGCAGGATCCACGCATAAAAGAAAGGAGACAAAGAAGGAAGGGCACACTAGAGGGAATAAGAAACAGGTACAATTATTCTGAGAGAATCAATGGATCATTATCTCAGTTAACTAATTTACCTATCCAGAAGTTCCCAATCTTCTCCTCCCCAGCGGTCTTTGAATTCCTCTGTGTTCATTCCTCCAATCTTGTCGAAATCTGACTTGTAAATCCCAAACAGACCGAAGCCATTAACTTCCCAATAACCTGCAAAACAAAACAAAGTAAAGGTCCAACTGAATAACAGTTTAGATTAATTAAAGAATCGAGATGGCTGCATAGGTCAAATTCAAAAACTCCTAGAGATTTAAAAATTGGTACAAAAATCCAAACTCAGTAGCGTCTGTCTGAACCGATGTGTTTACATGTGTAAGGCTTTTATTTGGGCGATCTCATCCTACCATCGGGCTCCATGGGTGAACTACCACAGCTCAGCCTCATGACGATGGGGGCAAACGCAAGGCGTCCCTCCACACAGTGCTTCCTGATGCTTTCCAGTATGTTGAGAGGGAAGTGTATATGCAGATCACACAGGAAAACAATACTGTGGCTGTCCTGCAAGAGAAAAATCAAACATTTCCTAATTTTAAGGATTGTTTGGTTTAATTAACCTCTGTTAATGTATGTTGTTTTTTGTGTTGAATAAAGCAAAGTATAGAAAGAGCTGGAAGGATGTAAATCTGAGTGATTGTTCACTTGTGTTTAATTTAGCATTTTAAGATTGAAAGATGGGAGAAGTCTAAGCTGGGCTTCAGTAGCCTGTCTTAACTTGAAGATGCCAGGGGTCATTTAGACATGAGTGACATCTATGTCATCCCACACTGACAGCCCTGACACCCAACTGGAGGATCAACGTCTATTCAGATTTTTGGAAGCGCTAAGCCCAGTCTGGCTTGGTGTGCACGGGTGTGTGATCGAGAACCCAATGGAGGATTCAGCGGGGTCGCAGGCACACCCATAAAAAGGAATTGATGTGACAGCTTTGACATACACAAAACAGAAGGGATGACGTGTTCTGTCTAAGCAATTCCCCGTCAACCCATAGCCTGGCTCAGTGGGAGATGGCCAAAGGAAGCAGGAGAGACTTGCAGATGAGGGCAAGTGGATACTGACAGACCGTACCATCAATGATAGATTCATTATGCATGAGCACTTTTTTCCATCTGGCCATCAGCCAGAAAAGGTTGAGTGGTCACTGTCTGACCTTGGGCGAGGGGTTTTACCATCCCAGCTCACACACTGCTGTCTTCCTTTAGTGTGTTTGTTTGTCTAACCTTAATGGTGTCCACTCCAATTTGCAGTCCTGCAGAGCGCTCAAAGTTCCCCTCTCTTCTGAGATACTCATATCTGTAAAAACAAATCCAAACAAAAACATCAGTAACCCCCAGTATCTTGAGGTCATCAGACCTTTTAAAGCACACAACACCTTAGTTAATATGAAATTCTCCAAGTGCCTTTTTAAATAAAGCTTTAGATTTAAAATTGAAATGAGTAAAGCTCAAACTGAAAACACAAATTTACATTTATTTGGAAGTAGAAAATGTATTATGTAAACGTTTTGACATCTGTAGGCAGAGTAGTGCACACAGTAAGCATGGAATGTAGGAAGTTTATGACTCCAAAGATTTAGCTGTGGTTGGGTTTGTGTTTTAAGAAACTGAGCAAATAGATATTATGCATCAATGGGGAGCTGTTTTTGAAAATTACTCTTCCATTGCTTTAAACCTGAATATCACATATTGGTCTTTATTCTATAATAGAATAATAAAGCAGAAGGTTCTTAACCCAACTGCCTAAACTGCACCTAAATATTGTTGCTTTATATTGGTCAGATGCTAGAAGGGAGAATTTGCAAAGGCAAAAAATGTCTTTATGTTGTCTTTAAAAAAAATTTTCAGCTGAAATGTTTAAACAGAATAAGGGTTTTATTAATAGTGCCTGCAAGCACATTCTAAACTGACATATTTTATAACAGGTCAAATAATAACCAGTGATTTATATATTATTGAACTCTTTAATTTGAGGTTCTGTTGTACCACTTTTTCAAAGTATCTGTTACTGTACTTGGAAAATCTGAAACTCAGAGCCATGAGGTTTTATTTCTAGTCATGCTACTAGACATCTTCCTATCACCCACTTTGGCACACTGCTCTCTCTGAGAGCATGCTCCACGTCCATGTCCTCACTCTCGAAGTCGACGATGATGATGCTGAAGTTGTCATCCTTTGTTTGGCGGTGAAGATTTTCCATGTCCGAAATAAACTGCTGTACCCAACGAGCCTGGTTTTTCACTAGAGGAGAGCAAGGCATACGGAAAAGGCCAGAGATTTGTATTTTTCTTTTAAGTAGCCTCTCTTATGATACACTTAACAATTTTTGGCCAAGAAAATCTTTTAACTGACCTGGCACCACAAAGTGCACCATGACATCTCGCTTCCACTGCAGCATGACAGGCTGGCAGAGAAGAGGCTTAGCATAAGCAGTGCTCCATGGTGTTGCTCCAGGCCGCAGTGAGGACCTAGTGGAAGGAGACGGGTGCTGGGTTGTGAAGCTGGTTGTAGGTGCGGAGGGAAGCACGGCCGGGGCAGAGGCTGGAGCAGTGTCTGTGTTCTCTACGCTTTCTTCTCCTTGTCTTCCACGGTGCAGCAACAGGTAAATGTACTCTGAGAGTCGTACCACACTGCGGCCTCTCTCCATCAACTCCAGCTCTACCAGGTAGCGGTTCCCCCTCGCCGAATCACGACGCTTCTCAACATTGATGATTCTCAGCAGGGTGTAAATCCTGGAGAACATGTGTGGAAATTCTTAAGGACACTAAGGTAGATATGAAATAAAATTTGCCTGAAATATATTTCATTGACTTTATATAATCTAAAATCTTTACTATTTGTGAGATGGGGTTTGAAGTTTAAGCAATAATTAAATTATTTATAAGCATGGGTGGTAAGTAAAGAAAGAAAAAAGAAATGAAAAGTGCATTTGCAATAAATATTGAAAAAGTCAGTCTAACCTAAAAAATAAAGATTGCCATCAAGATTTCTTGACTATATATTTCACTTCAAATCAGATTGTGTTATGTTACAACTAGTGCTTAAATCTTTTACGAATTTCACAATTATATTTAACTGCAAATAAGTTGACTTCATTTTCTAATTGGTTATAATGCCTTTATTTAGGCATGTCAGAGTTTTGGGGTATGTATTAATATAAATGCACTGAACTATCCAGTGTGAAAAATTTTAAATTAATCTCAATTCATCTTTTTTTTTTTTGTTCAGTTTCAGAACTAACTGTGAACTACCGTGTGTTGGTCTATCACATAGAATTCCTAAAGGGTAAATTATTGTTTTTGGGAAACATCCAAGGAAGTTCCAGGGCTTTAATAACTTATCCTATCCAATAAAAAAAAGAGCTTGCAGAAAGATTTATTTCAGTGCCCTTATTATTTTACCTAACTCCAACATACTGAAATTAAAATGGCTCAAGTCCATCATTGGCATTAAGCCCTCTTGAAGCCCAGCAAATCCTTTTGTTTGATTCACATGTGATGAAAAGATGCATTTGAAAGTCTCAAGATAGTAGATACCCCAAACTATACTAGAGTGCCTTGCAAGAGTATTTTTGCCACATTTCGGGCTACAAACATAAAGACATAAAGTTGTAATTCTTTGTGAAGAATCAACAAGTGGAACACAATTACCAAGTGGAACAGAGTTTGTTGGATAAAGGAATAAAAAAAAACCTTAACAGTGGGGCATGCAAAAAAATAAAAATAACTAAAAAAATCGGTCGGACAACAAACTCTCACCAGAAGTTAAGTGAGGATCTCTGAATGATTCAATGTTGACCTAAATGACTGATGATAAATAGAATCCATCTGCTTTGAAGAACAAGGAATACACCTGGCAGGTCAGAGATACTGTTGTGGAGAAGTTTAAAGTAGGACTGTGCAAGTTATAATATTGAGTATCAGACCACTGCACATCTACAATGACCCAGCCATCACTCTAAATTTTCAGCTCAAATAAAGGAGAAGACAGATCAGAAATGAAGCCTAGATGACCATAATCTGGCCTTTAGGGAAGAAAGCCCTATATTAAAAGGTATCCATAAAAAAACATCGTTTACAGTTTGCCACAAGCCACCAGGGAGACAAAGCAAACGTGTGGAAGAGTATGCTCCTGTCAGATGAAACCAAAATTGAATTTTTTGGCAACAATGCAAAATGTTATGTTTGGTGTAAAAGCAACCAAGTTCGTCACCATGAACACACCATGTCAAATATGTTGGTGGCAGCATCATGCTTTGGGCCCTCTTTTCTTTAGAAGGGACAGGGATGATGGTTAAAATTGATGGGAAGATGGATGGAGCCAAATATAGAACCTTTCTGGAAGAAAGCTTGTTGGAGTCTACAAGAGATCTGAGAATAGGTCTTATCTTCCAACAAACATGATCCAAAACATAAAGCAAAATCTACAATATAATGGTTTACAAATAAACATATCCAGGTCTTAGAATGGCCAAGTCAAAGTCCAGACCTGAATCCAATCGGGAATCTGTGATAAGAACTGAAAACTGCTGTTTTCTCTCTATACAACCTTGCTGAGCTCAAGCTGTTTTGCAGGGAAGCATGGGCAAAAATTCCTATGTGCAAAACTCATAGGAACATTACCCCAAGCGACTTGCAGCTGTAAGCACAGCAAAAGATATTGCTACAAAGCATTAACTCGAGGGGGTTGAATATCACAATTTTCCAATTGTGGGACAATAAAGGGATTTTTTTTCTATCTATTTTGCGAACCCAATTTTCAGTTTTTTATCTATTAAAAGCAGTTAAGAATATCCAATAAATTTTGTTCCACTTCATGATTATGTCCCACTTGTTGATTCTTCACAAAAAAATACAATTTTATACCTTTATTTTTGTAGCCTGAATTATGGCAAAAGGTTGAAAAGTTCAAAGGTTTGAATACTTTTGGAAAGCACTGTAGGGCACCCCTGATTCCTTACCCTCCGTTACGTTCATTGAGTTTTTCCATGTACTGTGCCAGCACATCCACCACTTCACTCTCTGCCAGCTGGAGGTTGCCAGACACATTACAGCGCAGGTCATTCCAATCCGACCGCAGTAGCTCAAAGTCCATCGGATTAACTGAGAATGTCCTCTGCCAGTTGATGCTCTCCTCCGCCCAACCTGGCCGGACCTCCACCTCTTCGTAGCTGTAGTCCGACATTTCTCCCTCCTCTGGTTCCAGCTCTTGCTCTGGATCAGGGTCAGGATTAGAGCGGTTTGTATCTTGCTCAATGTCTGCAGGATGGGATTCTGGGTTTAGCTGACGCTGCGATTCTGTAATCTCTGAGGTCCTAAGGTAAGAAGTGACCCGTAGCTGATTGTGGATTGTATTTTCTGTATAGCTTAACCTTGTTTCAGAGGCTTGGGTCGGAGGGGGCTTTTGATGGAAGGACAGAGGGATTTGGAAGTCCCTTTTATCGGGCAGGTCAGCTGTGACAGCAGTCCCTATATCTTGGGATTCCCCTCTCTTTTTTATTTTTTCTGTATGTTTTGCTATTGCTGCTTTGTTACCGGACTTCTCTGCCATTTCAGTCTGTATTTTATAACTCTTATTGTTAACTGCTGCCTTACTTTCTTTAGTTGGCCGGTTGAGCCAAAGTTGAGGGGCACCAATAAGGTGCCTCACCCCTGTGCCACCTCTTCCACCATGTCTTCTTGGACCCAAGTTTACCAGTTTTGTAGTCTTCCCAGTTTGGTACAAAAAGACTCCTGGAAACACCTCTCTTGGATGACGAGATGCCCTCTCCTCCCTTCTTTCTCGTCGCTGTTCCCTTTCTTTTTCTCTCTCCTTTGCAGGCCGAGGCCTAGTGATGTAGATCTTGTTCTCATCTTTCTTCTCCTTCTTGCTCCCAACAGGCTTGTTGCTACTATTATGGGGTTGGTTGCTATGGGCAGAATTGCTCAGGATCTGCTTTGCTTTGCTGGTGAGTGCAGAGAGGGAGGACCTCTGAGGGAAAATGAGTGAAGACTTGCTGATTTTAGGAGGCGCTTCAGGATCTCCTTCACCACCTTGAGATTTACCTTTTTTGTTTGGGTCTTTTTCAGAAGGACCTGTATAGACCCATGCCAAAGAGCGACCCCTGACCACACTGTCCACATCTGGCAGCACAGCAATGGGTTGGTCTTCATCAAGTACTTCTCTGCTATATTGTCTTCTGTTTGCGTTGGTATGATCCCTTCCCCAGTCTCTGTCCAGAATTCTCTCCATTTGCTTATCTCTGTGTGAGGACTGTTTCCTTTTTCTGTGGCGTACGATATTCTCAACATCTCCCATCTCCTCCTCATCTCCTTCTTCTTTGGGCTCCTCCTTAGCTTCCTCCTCCTCTCTGCTAACCGCTGTGGCTCCATTTTTTGAGTGCTGATTGGAAGTGTTATACACAAGACTGGACTGACTTGGATGAGAGGACTTTCTAGCCGACTGCGTGCCAACAATCTCTGCCTCATCTTCTGCATCCACCACCTCCTCTTCCTCAAGAAAATCTGAATTCAAAGGAAGGAGATTTGAAGATGTTAAAGTGTGAACACTTGCGTAAATATGAATACGATTATTTGGTTTGTGCAGGCTTTTTTGTGAGTACATTTTTGCGAGGAGTGCATGTTTGCTCATTAGTTACCATCTGGGTTGGGGAAAAAGAACGGTCTGTCATCTTCTTCCTCATCCATCTTCATATATTTGTAGAAACCAAATCTGGCAGACAAAATAGAAGCAACATCCACATATGGCCACAAACATTAGCTAAAAGGCAAAGTTTTAAAGTGACTTGTGGGTATTTAATAAGAGAGTTTGTATGAGCTTGTACCATCAAGGTCACCGTGACTCTTTTTCTGCATTGAGCAGCATAGCTGTTTGTTTATACAAGACATAGATTAATGTTTGTTTTTCTCGCAAAAAAGATAAAGCTTAATGTGCTTACTTTTCCAAGTAGATAGGGGATTCTCTGTAGAAACATTTGTTTTCCCGTTCCATGTGGGTGAGACGTGTGAAGTCATTAGGGTAGACAAAAGATAGGTAGACCTAAAACAGAGTTACATCTCAGTACCGAATAATACACAACTTTAATGTTGACTATACACTTATAAGAAAATATAGTTAAATATTTTAGTCATTATTTTATACTTAAACTAAAAATCTATCAAAACTGGTTAACCTGATGGTTATTGTGTCTAATGTACAAGCAAGAAACCACATCTAAAAGGATTCATCCTTGAATTTAAACAAGGTTTGTAGGACAAATATATAACTGATATTAAAAGTAGTTTCTCCAAATTAAATTTAAACAAAAAAAAAACTTTTAACAGCAACTACTGTCTTGAAATTGTTCCTCCCTTTTATGACAAGCGTATTTGATTCTTCACAGAGCCTTTTCGCTGTTATGATCTTCTGCAGACATGATTCATAGCCAGACACTGAATTCTGGCAGTATTCCTGAGGAATCTTAGCACAATGCTCATGGATAAAAAAAAAAACCTCCAGTTAACCAATAATATTGGCCTTGTGCCTTGCAAATATCTATTTTAAAACCCACCACAGATATTCTGTATGTTTAAAGTCAGGCAATGCAATGACTACTGTGGTATTTCCCAGGACTTCCTCTTAAATCATGCCTCGAAGGACCTTGAAAGGTTGCTGGCAATATTGTGCTAATAAAGAGTCCAAGCCTCAGCTTTGTCGCCGACGCCATGGCAATATCTTTATTACATTCATCTGATGAATGTAATAATTTTGCCAATAAACCCAATACACATTAAGGAGCTATCTAATTTTAGGGAGAATATTTCATATTTATACCTGCTGCAGTAACATCTGCAGTTCTACAGGGGGTAGCAGAGCCCAACAACTACCCCCTTCAGATATTAACAGAAACAATTTCTTATTGCTCTGTTTATGTTTACACCTGCATATTTTATGGACTCCTATTTCTTAATGCTCAGCCCCCATGAACTCAGAAACACAAATGAATTAAATTGAATTTGCTAAAGGCTGAGAGCCACCCCGGACACAGTTTGACTTATAAAAAACCAAATCAAGAGAAACATAATTTATAAATGATCAATCCTCATTCAAATTAATTTAGGTCAGATCACCAGTAATTCATAACAAATCCTATCTAAAAACACATAGATCCAATTCGGACCCACAAGTAGATAATCAAATCAATTTACATGGTTACACACGTTTGGTCTAAGTTATCATAAAGTGTGGCATATTTTGTATTGAAAGCCAAAAGCCTTAAAGGAATAGTACACCCAAAACATGATTAGCCTTCATTTTCTACTCACCCCCATGCTGAACAACACTCTGGAGTACTTTTTTGATATCTCAAATGCATCTGGAGATCTGGGAGGCTTCTTGCTGTCTGCTGACATTCAAATAATGGAGGTCTATGGTGACCGAGACAGAAAGGTCCATAAAAGTCCACAAAAACGTGTCAATATTCCTCCATACTGCTCGTCCAATGTATTCCAAGTGTCCTGAGTGGGTAGCATCCAGAATTTACTCGAAACGAAGTCATTTAGAATGTTTTTAGAGCATAAACAGTAGTGTATAGGATTTCCTGAAAGCGCGCGCCAGCGCGCTCACGACGCTACGGAAGCCGGCAGACCAAACCAGTGCATTCAGCTCGGCAAAGAACTCATGCTCTTCCTCAACACTGAAGTCCTCAGACATTTTTCTTTCGTTGTTTCTTTCTTTGCACAGGTAAACAGCACATTTCTTCTTCTACGCTTGCATTATTGGCAGAGCAGACGCTGAATGCGCACTTTCATCTGGTTTGGTGTGCCGGCTTCCGTAGCGTCGTGAGAGCGCTGGCGCGCGCTTTCAGGAAATCCTATACACTACTGTTTATGCTCTAAAAACATTCTAAATGACTTCGTTTCGAGTAAATTCTGGATGCTACCCACTCAGGACACTTGGAATACATTGGACGAGCAGTATGGAGGAATATTGACACGTTTTTGTGGACTTTTATGGACCTTTCTGTCTCGGTCACCATAGACCTCCATTATTTGAATGTCAGCAGACAGCAAGAAGCCTCCCAGATCTCCAGATGCATTTGAGATATCAAAAAAGTACTCCAGAGTGTTGTTCAGCATGGGGGTGAGTAGAAAATGAAGGCTAATCATGTTTTGGGTGTACTATTCCTTTAATGTTTCTATTTAATGAACCCTGGGCACTTTTATTAAGAAGAAAAGACAATACTGAAACTAAAGCTTCTCAAAATCCTAACAGTAACACTGAAGACGAAGCCAGAATTTCTAGGTTCTCCATGTAACAAATGTCCCATATTTTCATCATTCTTCTGAAATAGAGGCTATAGCTTCAAAACACAAGAGTTTTCTGTAAAATAATAAAATCCAGACCTGTCTTAAATCTCCCAAAACACATGGGAGAAGGTTTTATGGCCTGACTAAATCAAACTTGAACTCTGGGCAAGATATATTTTACACAAACACAGCATTAACAAATCTCCACAAAAATACTATAACAACAGTGAATGGAGGCAGCATTATTCAATGGAGCTAGTTTTATTAAAATTGATATTATATTATTGTCAATGTGGATTGATGAAATCATTTCAAATACAATGAGCTTTAACCCAAAGCCTTAAGTCGTGCTGTAACACTGAAGACGAGAAATACAGTGAGATCGATGATACATCTAAGTCAAGTCTAAAGATACTTTTTGAATAAAAAATTGGTTGTTGAAATAGCCCTGCCAGGCTAAGAAATATAATTGCTGGAAAAAGTTGATCAAACTGATTTGGATAACTGTAAAAGAAAGAGTGCTCAAATACTGTTAGATTCCTTTGTTGTTTTTTCAGGGGACTTGTACAAAATAGAAGTCACACAAATGTGGAAATGCCTAAAAAAATCTGGTATTTTAGCAGGAATGTTAAACTTTTGAGTATCATTGTATGAACTTTTAATCTTTTATTCAGAGATTTGGAGCTTTTTCAAAAATATTCATGTCTAACAATGCCTGCCCTTGTAAATTACATTAAGAGTATAATCTGTAAGATTCAGTGTTGATTAAACAAAAACAGTCACATGTGGCACTTTTTTAGACTTACAAACTGAAGGCCTTGGTATCTGGCTATTGGGAAATCTTTGACTACGTAGGTTGGAGAGTAGAGGCACGCTGGGAGAACGTTTTGCAGCCGAGCGGGATCAATCATTGGTGCTGAGGAGAAAGACATGGCAACTCAGCAGTTTGCTAAACAAAAATGTGATTAAAAATGTTATAATGATATCAAGATTGAAGGGGGTCAAGAAAATATGAAAAGCAGGAAACAATAAAAGAAATATCAGCAGTTTAATCACATTACAATGTACTTAAATATAAATTGCAAGCCAAAAACTCAGCATGAAGAGTTATGAAAAGGCAAACAGAGAAGGAGTTTTGACATACTGCTGTAAAAAGAGTCCCTGGGATCTGGCTTTAGCATATCCGCTCCATGCTGTGTGATGGTGGCTCTCCCAAGCTCCTCTGGGAGACGTATGTGACTGGCCAAGGTCTGAGGGATGTGCTCCACACTGTTCATCTTCAGACTGGACTCATCTGCGAAAAAGAAATCCATAACATCATATTTTTCATGTTTTCATTATTATTATTCCTGGTCCGTTGTTTCTTTCAAATCAATACATCTTCAATAGGAATGGCAGGGTGTATAAGTTGACATAACTAGCGGATGGGGTACACTGTAAGAAGAGAAAACTAATCTTAAGAGTAGGTACTAAAGCAACAGGACAAAAACAAAAAGAGAAATGAAAAAACAAAAACAATCTGCAGGTTAAAAAGAAAAAAAGCAGCAGTCATAAAACCATCAGTCAATAAATGGGAGGAAGCAGAGGAAGCATGTGTGATTAATATCACCTCGGGAGCAAGGGGCTGATGGGAGACATGTTTTGTAATTAATAGGGTGTTTAGCGTCATTTTCCTCCTCCAAAGGGTCAAGTGTGAAATACTCTGAATGTTTATGTGCACATTGTACAGAAAGTTGTTTTTTTAAGATTATTTTTGCGTGATAGTAGGAAATTTTAATCAATTTATTCATTTAGTCTCTACCCAAACCTTCCCCTTAAATGAAATACCCCTGATCTGTGCTATAAAGCAGATTATTGGCACAAGAAGTGAAATTATTGTTTTTTGTTGGATTTTAACAGAAAGCTGAACTGAGGAAGTCTCAACAAGAGAGAAAAAAATGCTCCAAAATGGCCACTTCTTCAGTCCACTTTCTAGCCACAATAATAGTACAGTTTTGAGAAGTAAAGATTACTAACACATAAAAACTTTGCTGCAGCTACTGTATCAGGCATGACAGTGTACGTATCATGCTTGGGGCGGTTTGCTAATAGTAGTAATGTTGCATTCCAAAAAACTTGCTGGAACAATACATTTCTTTTGAAGTTAACATTTATATGGTTAAAATCTAGACACTACTGAGTGCTTTAACATGCTTATAATCCCATTTGGAAAAAACCTCTCAGAAAGCTTCTATAAAAAAACCTCAACTAATTCAAATCAGCTCAACATCTCTGAAACTAAAAGAATACATTAATGCTTTTAAAACTCATGCTTCACTTGACCCACATGTTTTATGTGCATCTTTGACTGCACTCCCTCCTCATCAGCCAGCACTTGCTGCAGGAGCCTGCTAAAGTCAGGTGTGTGGTAGCAGTAAAATACCTTAACATGCAGAGAAAGCAGACCAGAGGACGACTATGAAAATCACTGGAATAGATGATTATAAAAATTTAACATAAAAAACATTTTAAAAAAAAACATAAAACATTGCCAACTGTTCAACTGTTTTTTTTTTTTTAGGTTTCATTTTCAAGATACAAAGAGAAGAATGCTATTATCACATTGAAAGGAAATCAATTTGGCTTGAACTCATGAGAAGCACTTATGAAATTTTAATAGGTTGTGCTTTATAAAGTGACATTTCAAAAGTTTGTCAGGTTGAATTTGAATATCAAGATAACTTCATTTGTCCTTAAACAATGCCAACCAACTCTACTCCAGCACAGTGTGGACATAATTGTACAAACATGAACAAATATCAAACACTTTCGGGGTTGCATTCATAAAGCAAAGCAGTGCCGCCGGGGAAGGGTGCAAACCAGGGGCGGAGGATGGATTGCTTAGGAAAGATGATGAGAAGGTAATGCCTGAATCCAAACAGTGATCTCATCTGATGTATGAGACCTCATTCTTCTCTGTCACTGCTCCTCATAAACAACATGGCAGGGTTTGGCGTACAGCCAAGAAACACCGCAGATTTGCTCAAGTCGACAAATTTGTGCATCATTTTTCGAAGCAGCTGGCAGTTTTTGCTCTTAGTGTAACTGATTCCTTGTGACACATTACTATTCCTGGAGCTGCTGAGGTTAAGCACCTACTTAAGGCACATTTCTTAACTCTGCTGCAAATACCATGAATCAAGGAGCAAAAAGAGTCTATACGGTGTCAGCTACATCCACTGACACCCCTGAGATATGTAATTAAAAAGCCCTAAAATAAGTCAATCTTTTACTGCAGAAGTATAATCCTGCAGCACAAATTTACAAAGGTACAATTTTGAAAAAGATATATTGAGTGGCGTAATAAAACCCCATGTTAATCATTTTTTTTTTAATCAAGACATGTAAAGCTACAGTAGTTTGTACCCATAACAATCCAAAATTAACAAAATTAACTCAAGAAAAGCTTTTTTTAATTTTCTGTCTTTTCTTCACTTTTTAATTTTTTAAGATTTTTCAAAACGTTGTAACTTGTTTTTAAAATTTTTTAAAATTTTTTGTTATCCTTGTGTATCAAAATGTGTAACTCTTAGGCCTTTGGGGTCCATCTGAATACTGCAAGTCAGTAAGGCTCATTGCTCCACATTGAGAATTGAATATTATTATTTTTTATTTATTTAATTCCCTTACAATTGCAAGATGTGTAAATGAGGTCTGCTGTATTAATCGCTGTTGCCTCTATTGGCTCTAGTCAGTTCATGAGAGAAGGATCGGGCTGGTTTCTTTAAATGTGCCTGTTAGTGTGACACACTGCACGGCCTCATTCACCTGTTTACTTTGTTGGTTCTCTGCTGCCACTGATGCATACGTGGAAGAACATAAGCAATTTCTTTCTAAGGATGGATCACAAAGACCAGCCACAAGTGCACCTCCATGATCCCCATTACAGAATCCACACAAGACTAAAAAAGTAAGAAAATTGTCCAGTGGAACAAAAAGAGACAAATTGGAGTCTGATTTGTAACAGAAACAGACAAGAATTACAAGATTTCTACAAATGATGGAAGCTAAGATATGCCAGCCAGGGGCGCAACTACATATTTTTGAGGTGGATGCGAAAACACATGATGCATCCCCCCCCCCCCCCCCGCCCCCCCCCCCCCCCGTACAGTAACCAATCTCGTTCTACTTTCTCTCCATTAGACAGTAAACGAAAACAGTATCCTTTGGAAAAACACATCCTACTTTCGGTGGGCCATTTTCAACCATGTACTGCCTAAATACGTCCTCCATTTTGTGTGGTAAAGGCCATTCCAATGGATCTTCTGAATACAGCTCTCTGCTCCTCTCCCTCTTCATCATCTGAACCTCTATGCTCTCTCCCTCTTCTTCATCATCTGGTCCTCTCTGCTCCTCTCCCTCATCTGCACCTTTCTGTTCCACATTCTCCCAATTTTCCCAAAAAAGAACACGAGAGATGGTCATCAGAAATTCAAACCATTATGGTATATATGTTTTTGCTGCCTCCCTAATGTATTTATTCCTACCTGATGTCCTCACTTGTCTCTTCTATCACCGACCTGATGTCTGTCTCCTTCACCCCTTATCTGTGGCGTTCTCCAATAAGTCATATGGTCAAAAAACATTATATATTAGTTGTAAAAATTACAGATCTGAATACAGTTTTTAAAAATAATGTTTAAACATTATCGATTGGGATTAAGTAGCTGTTCCCTCACTTCCACCTAATATTAGACTAACCTGTTGCTTTCCCCTGTCTGTCCTAATTCTTCCTCTGTCATCTTCTCTTCTTTCTCTCCATCCTCACAGCTGAATTAAATTAATTTTATGTTAAGTAGAGTTAAAAAATACAGCAGTCAAACTACAATAAAAATCTATATTTAAATTTGAATGATCTTCTTGTTGGATAACAGTTACTGACTGGACACTGCAGCTGATCTGACTTATCAGATACATCACAACACCACTGTAGTGATACTGAATAAAACATTTAAACTCGAGTGTCCCCCTGCCAAAAAGGTTGGAAAACATGGGTCACCGAGTCTAAGGGCTATAATGACACTGGATTAATGTGTCTGATACACACATAAATTTGTACAACTCATCTTTAATAAAAAAAAAAATCAATAATAATAAATATACATATGAGTGAATAAATTGCATCCTAGAGGGCTAAGCGTTGGATCATAGCTGGGCACTGGCCACGACATTTTAGCTTTCCTGTGTTAATATTTCACAAGTTTTATTTCGGTCATTCTTACATTTTGTGTGTGTTACAGGAGTATGTATCAGATATTCCTAGAAATACGGAACAAATCGCGTTCCTTATCGCTTCAAAAGGGGACGCAACATTTAACAGCCAAATATGGGGCGACTCCGTATCAGGCTAGCTTTATCTAACCTGCATATTTACAACCCTCCTGTCCTGTTGTTGATACACTGAAAGAACTTACAGTACCTACTGTCTTTCAACCACATTGAAAGGCTTTTTTTCATCCCACCAACAACTTTATCCTTCTCCCTTTTTCTTTTTCTGTTTTGCGCCCCGGATAGTTTTTTTTTTCTTTTTCTGGCGTTCCATCTTGCTGTTAAGTGTGCACTACGAGTGGTAGTCAAAGAAAAAAAAACAAAAAAAAACACGCCTGAGTGCGCCTCTTAGGGGCGCGTGCGCAAGACACCTGTGTGGGAAGGGAGCGTGACAGGATGGGAGGTGAAGGGGGCGCATAATCAGTGGGGGCGCATCAGAGGGGTGCATAATCACTGCTGTCTCTCTGTTGATCGTTTTATGCTGTTAAATATAGAAAATGACAACTAGAAAAATGTATTTTCTAGAGGGGTTTTTTGACGCCCCCTTGAGTGCAGCGCCCCTATGCATTGCATGCGCTGCATACCCAGTTTTTGCGCCCCTGATGCCAGCAATTGGCTCTCTTTTTTTAATGCTTGGTTCAAAGTAACTTTAATATTCATAACTTCTTACCTCAGAAGAGATTACTTCTCTAAACAAATGGCCTGTGCAGTTGCAGTGGCAGACTCATGCTTTTGTGTTGTTTTGTGCTGTGCATTCTTTTCCTTATGCACAACACTGGTGTCAAATATCTGTAAAAACTCAGGGACTTGTACCTGCCAAAGCGGAAGTTTCTCAGCAGTTCCCATGATAAATGCTGTCCGAACCTAAATTCAACAGAAAACTTGCGGACTAAACCCAAGAAAGGCCCCAGGCCCCGATAACATATCGGGTTGTACAAGGAGTGTGTAGATCAGCTGGCTGGTTTCCTCAGAGACATTTTCAACACCTCGCAGAACCAATGCATAATGCCAGCCTGCTTCAAGTCCACCACCATCATTCTGCTCCTAAAAAAGCCTCAGGGGACCTCACTCAATGACTACGGGCCTGTCGCACTGACTCAGATCACGATGAAGTGCTTCGAAAGGCTGGTTAAAGAAAGCATCGTCTCAGGTTTGCTGCCAACATTCGACCCGCTCTGAGGACGGCACCTCCTCTTCTTCTTACCTGAGCCTGGCATACCTGGAAGAGAAGAACAACCACGTGCAGATGGTGTTCCTGGACTTCTGTTCAGCTTTCAACACCATCATCCCACAGCATCTGATGGGCAAAGTGGAACAGCCGAGCTTCAACCTTCAACCAGACAGACCTCAGTCAGTCCGGGTCAAACAGAACACCTCTGATATCATTATCCTAAGCACAGGCTCCCCTCACAGCTGCGTCATGAGGCCCCTGCTGTTCACCCTGATGACACAGGACTGCGTCCCCAGGTTCACTACCAATCACATCTTGAAGTTCACAGACAACACTACATTGGTGGGCCTCATCAGAATGTCCAGAAAATGAGGGAGACTTCAGTAAGAACCGGAGTAACCACGCTCCACTGCTCATGAACGGCTCAGCTGTAGAGGTGGTCAACAGCACCAAATTCCTTAGGACAACCTCACCTGGATTGTAAACACCAACTCACTGGTCAAAAGGGCACCAAAGCGCTTGTTCTTCCTGTGGAGGATGAGGAGAGCCTACCTGCCCCAACCCATCGTCACTGCCTTCAACAAAAACACCATAGAGAGCGTTCTGACCAGCTGTCTCACTGTGTGGTGCGGAGGCTGCAATGCCACAGACTGGAAGAAGGTGCCTCCCTCCATAAAATACATTTAATCCCAGCACTGCGTGTCCCGAGCCCGTAACATCATAAAAAATGACCCCTCACACCCCAGCCATGGACTGTTCTCCATGCTGCCATCTGGGAAGAGGTTTTGCAGCATTGGATGCAGGTCCAGCAGATTCCAGAACAGCTTCTTCCCCAGTGCCATTAGACTGCTGAATGTTGTATAAAATTGGATTAAAAAAAAAAAGCACTGAATGTTGGAAACTACACCATGTTCACATTTTATCACTGCTGCACTTTGGAAATGGAAATGTCTTGAGAGCTGTACTGAACGAAATTTTGTTTTGTATACACTCTGTGTGTACAAAATGACAATAAAGTCTGTCTAAGTCTACGTCTATGCTGAAGACTGATCCACAGAATCCGACTCATCATCATGTTAAATGTCAAAGGGAAAGATATGTGATGAAGTGTGGTTAAACAAATGTTGTTAAACCGATCATACCAGTTATGAAAAAAAAAAACTTCTCACATGTGTTTTTCTCTCAGATACAGTAAACATTTATCCAAGGTCCTGTGTTACTTTAACCAGTGTACCACTAAATGTGGTTAATTTTGCCTAATACCAAATATTGTTCTTAGGACCACACCCAAAAAGATGAATCTTTAAAATAAAATTAGTATATATCCTTGAACAAATAAAGCACAGCTGAAATTCCATTATAATCAAAACATTGGTGGAAAGAAAGAAAAAAAGATTTCATGCTTTTGATAAAACTTAAGCCAAAGCTGCAGCTTTAAAGTGGCTTTTGGGCTTGTATTGGTATTTTCCCCTCTTTTAATTAATCTAAACATGTTTTAAGAAAAAGAATGACAAATGTGTAATTCAAGTGTGTGAAATAAAAGCTTAACTAAGCTTTCTGTACGACCAAGAGTATCTTAACTATGCTTTAAAAATGGGGATTAAATACTCTGAAATTCAAGGTTTATTATCAGTAACCATGGAAAGTTCTTACCTGTGTAGAGGGAGATGTATGCAGAGTCTATCACTTCATATTTCAGACCAGGGAGAAATGGTCGCCACTGAATGAGACACAAGGTGAAAGAAATGCAACTGTGTTAGAGTACACTTCTAAATGCCAACTTGTGGAATATGAAACCGTGAACAGGAATCATTCATGCCAGTTTGTCAGCTAAGTGACATTCTCTCTGTTGCTGAGCATCTGAAAATCCCAAGATTTAGTTTCTATTAATATTAATTCTGGGTGAGCAGAGACAGCAGAGTGATACGTTGGCAGTAAAAGTTGCGAGGTAAGTTAAGTAAGGGACTAAAGAAAGGGGAAGCAATGAAAACTGAGAAAAAAAAGTGAACAAAAGATGACAAGAGCAGAGTTGTAAAAAACTGAGGGAAATCAACTAATGACCTGAAATAGAACAGCATGGAGAGGAAGGAAGAGAGACAGGCAACAATCTCCTAAATAGATTTCCCAATTACCTCGTCACTTCTGCTTACCAAGGATGTAATCATGGGAGACAGGTCATTTTCTAACCTTTCTTTAGAGAATACAAATATAAACACCCATCTCAGAATCCATGCAAATACATCTACAACAGTGTCTGAGGACAACAGGCACACACACACACACCCTCTTACTCAGATAAAGTGTCATTTCATAAAAGTGTCATCAACTTACAACAAGCAACAACAAGTTGTGTTCACAGCCATGTTGATGCAGTGACACTTAGGCAACCATACTGTAGCCACAGAAGGACGCAAACACAGGAGCATCAAACAAGGACAGAGAAGGAATATCGTGCTGAGCAGCAGCAGGGAGCGGCTCAGCAGGCCGCCGAAGACGTTGCCATTTTTGTTATTATTTCTGTGTAAATGTCTTGAAAAGCGAGCCGTCACGGGTAAAGTCAAAAGAGACAAAAAGTCAAGGCAACATATGAGTTTAAGGTGTTTACTTTCCCCCAACTTACAGTGCAGTAAGGACAAACTAAACTAAACTAAACATTTATAGCTTCTGTTTTTTTGTTTATTATAGTAACACACACATTTGCATCATTGTCTATGTATTAAATATACCCTGTACTTTACAAAGTTTTCTCAAGTGTGCACAGTTGGGTAAAAAAGTTATTTGCCAACTTACATTTTTTTTTTTTTTTTTCCTTTTTGCCAGGTATTGTTTTAGATCAAACAGATGTTCACATAAAGTCACCCTAAGAAGAAAACCAAGTGCGTTTTGCAAAAGATTATTTAAGCTATCAGAAAAAAGTTCCTCCTAAACATATGTGAAGAAGTGATTGGACCCTCAAGGGGAAACAACTGCTACTTCTAATGAATATCAAAGACATGATTGTATTCCTATAAAAAATTGTATTAACAATTCGATCGAAAACCTCACAATAGAGTGCAGCCAAAAGTGATTCACATACCTGCATTTTTTTAGTAACTAGTCCACCTTTGGCAGCAATTATATATAGTGTCAAATCATTCTTAACATGGTGCCTGAGCCTAGCATGCCTAATTTTGCGTAGGTCCATACATTGTTCTTTCCATTACATATCAAGATACTTCAGATTGGATGGAAGGCATCTGTGCACATCAGTTTTTTGAGCTCTCCAGAGACGTTCATCCAGATTCAAGTCTGAACTCTGTCTTGGTCCTTGTAGGACACACTGGATCTTAAGACATTCCTTTGTGATGTTGTCAGTCTGCCCTTCTTTGCTGTACTGCTAAAAAACAAGACATAAAATAACTGAAATAGATGTACAGAGAAGTTCAAACCCCATCGAAACCTTCTTTCTCTGCAAATCACACAATTCTTAACTTCCACCATAAAACGGGTGAATATTGTTTTCATCTTCCTTCTATAGAAACCGTCAGGAGAATTATTGATATTGATTTTTAATAATCAAGACTTTTTTTTGTCTGGCAGACCTAAAAGCTCACTGTTGTGTACTTTCCTTTGATTAAACTGCTCTCTTACAAGCTTGAGGAGCAAAACTTGATATCTTACTGTAACACCTGGGAAATAACTGCGTAAACAAACCTTGATCTTTCACGTTTGCTTAAGATTCTCTTGAGATCAAAATTAACAGACTGTATGTTTGCCAGAAACATCTGACTTTTTGTACATCTTTATCAATAGCTTTTCTTTTTTTGCCAATGTCTGTTTTTTTTCCAAGAAGGGCACAGAGTTTAACTGCATCCTTTCAATCAATGATCTCCTAAACTCTGCCTTATCCACCGACAGCTGGCAATAGGCCCGTAGCGACAGAGTGCAAACACAAAAATGAGATCAAATAAAATCACTTTGGGAGTGGGCAGGGAAACAAGACAGGTGTCTTTAACACCTCATGGCACCTGCCCAAACAGTAGAAAACCAAACCACTATCTAACCACTATTTATTAAACCTTCATTTATAATGGAGGTTCTTTTTGAACATATATATATATATATATATATATATATATGCAAATTCACTGAATATTTAAACCACTTCTCAACTCACAGTTTCAACTCTAGTTTTTACTATCATGTAATAGTGACTGAGTGTTCCAATTTAAAATAATTTGGGGCCAGTCTTAGCTGTAAAGTACCGAGAGGCTCATTTATTTACTTTCGATATTTCTGTTGTCAAAACATTATAGTACATCATTCTAAATATATTATAAATACAACTGATCATAAATACATTTGTTAAACCGGTAGTGATGAGGTAAAGTCAGTTTAAAGCTCAGAAATTTTTAAAGAAAGGTGTGCAAAGGATTGGGTGGGAAACTGCTAGAAATGACAGCATTTTTATCTGTCATCATTTCTTTTTTCACTAGTTTATAAGCAGTTGATCTGCATGATAGGCCATCATTTTTCAGACCAAGACATGAACAACAGTTTATCAGTAGCTCTTATCAGTGACATGGAAGCAGACGTTGCTGAAGAGCCAAAAATCAAATCTTGCAGCTGTGCTGTGAAAACAGAAAAGTGACAGTTAAACTAATTACTGGGCAACTAGTACAAAAGAAGCATTTAACTCAGTCCCCTCTTAGTTCTCTAGTTTGGAGTAAAGTGTAATTGAAACCAGTGATTCCTAACCGGGGGTATACGTTATTTCATTGCAAGGGGTACATTAAAATATTTGTCTCTTAGGTAGTAAAAGGCTTGTCTCAGTTCTGCTTTGTGAGGACCCAACTGAAAAATTAAACAAGCTTTTTTAAACCAAAAAGTAAGTTTTTCTTATAGGTTTAAAACTAATTAAGTCATTCTGATCATAATTTTCGTTCTGGATTTTGTTCCGGATTCAAAGTCTGAAATTTAAATGTGACTGTAAGAGAGTTACTCAGAAGAGCTGCCGTTTATAAATACAGGTTTATAATATGATTTTATTTGTATTTATTTCTATTCCATACTAAGTTCCAGGCAGCATATATATGTTTTTTTATTTGAGATGGAAAGAATATAACTATAAAAATTAAATCCACAAATCAAAAGACAGACAGGCAGACAGACAGATAGATAGATAGATTATAGATAGGAAATTCACCTGCTCAATAGCAAAGATAAAAACATAAAATAGGATAAAAAAAACTCATAATTACATTGAAAAATAATAATAAAAAACTCAGTTCTTCAAGAGGCATTAAACTGTCTAATGAAAGCTGAGAAAAAATAACTTCTGTATCTCTCCATTCTGCTTCTCACAGAAATCAGTCTTGAAATAGTCATTATCTCAGTTATTGTACATTCAACTTTTGGACGATCATCAATACTTTTGAAACAGAGGGGTACTCCTGGTAAGGAAAAATACCCAAAGGGGTACGCAAGTGAAAAAAAAGGTTGTGAAACACTGCTTTAAACTACTGTTCAGGACCATAAAGCAATGCAAAACACCATTTATGCCAATCGGTACTGTAGACGCAAGCCTTAATATTTCTATTTTAGGTATGCATCTACTGGAAAAATTAAAAAAGGAAAAGTGATCACATCCTCTCAAACCCTTAAGTGCTTCCCTGCCGATGCTAAAGTAAGGGAACCCTGTTGCACAATGCGTCTATGGGGACAAACTGTTCCTATATGCAATAGGAATGGGGTTTTAAGACCATTATCTCGAGTTATTTGACCTCCGAAATAAAACTTTGTACATAGACTCAAGAGGGCTTTCATATGTTTGCTTCTGTATTACATGTGTGTATTACAGTACATGTGGTACAGAGTTAAACAGGACCTCTTATGGCTTTCTTTCTGACACTCTTTCCTAAAGGTTTGTAAAATACATTCCTAAAAGCAATACTAATGTTTAACCTCACAAAAGTTTATGGCTGTGACAAAAAATTGTTAAAATTATATGAATATGTTGAATGCACCATTTCTTCAGAGAACAAATAAAGATTTAAAAGATGTGAACTTTGCTGTCATACACTGACAGGTGCCCAGCAGCAAAGCATTGTGTTTACAGCTTATAGTGGTAAGCAGAAGAGTGAAGAAATACTGCCATCAAAGAACACAAATGACAACAGTAAAATGGTCAATAAAATATGGAAAAGATTTAAGCAATAAAGAAAACCATAGAAACAAGGGGAAATAAATATAGCGCCGTGAAAACGATGACATACAGAACTATTATGATCTTATTTGAATTGGTAACAGCACAGAACCAAACAATTACATGCTAGAGGATAAATGTCACTCTCTATTCCTTGTCATTGATGTGGAAAGAGGAGCTTGTTTTTCCGTGTCACATCAGGTCTTGCCTGGGGATTGAGGAGCAGTTTTGAGAGAGTTGAGGAGGTGGATATAGAGACAGAGCACTGAATGTTCTATTCTGGATTTTTACATTATCAGAGGAGTCTAAGCACTGACATTACAGACGGACAACAAGAATGACCCAACTAGCATTACAATATCAATTGCTGTTGCTGAAAAACACAGAAAAGAAGAAAAGAATAATAGCTTAAGGCAAACATACCCAAAAAATGTCATTTTCCAATAGAGACATTAACAGAATTAAGCTGTAATAAACTTTAACACACATTGGCATCCAAAAACAAAAAAGAAAGAGTGCCCTAGAACTAATATTAA